TAAGCAACTTAATTGCGAACTTGATTACTGTTTATTATTGAGAGATATGATAGACTGAGATATTTATATTAGAGTATATTTATATCAATTAGTTATATTGTTCTCATGACTTAACAGTACATAAGACGTGCATGTTGTAAATAATAGGTGTACTTGTTAAATTCAAGATAGTGTATGAGGAGAAATACTTGTATCCACAGTAAGTACAATCCCTAAACAATTATGGTTATACTACTGACAAAGACAAAATATTCGATTTAGATATATACATTTAAAAATCGCCTCATTACTTCATAGGTTTTGGTGTCAGCATTGATATCGTGTCCAGCATTCGCGTGGCAGGATTCAGGATCGAGACTAAAGTAAACCTTTTATTGCCTTCAGGAAAAGTCTACAGGTGTTTCTTAACACCTGCTCGTGTTTGGCGGTTCATGAGCGTTCTCCGAAGAGGTAACGTCCCCCTCTCGAGGTCAAAGGTCACTCAGGTCGGCAGGTATACAGGAAGGCAGCAACAGGTCATTCCATTATAAATGGAATCGAATCGCTACGCTGGTTTTGGTTGGCCTTCTCGGTAGAAATATTATTGTTACTTTCTTTTTTATTTCTAACAAAAGTCAATAAGGGTTAACTTTGTAAGTATAATGAATTTCAAAATTTAATACTAGACGTTTGTATTGTAAGTTATATATAGTACGGCTTATGAATATTAATCTTCAGTTACTGAAGACTTCCTGTCACCGTTCTTTTATTTCTGAAGAGAAAAGATTAAAATGTTGATATCATTATTGTGAATAATTGAGAAGAAATTCGTACAATTTGATTTTAAAATAGTTGTTATAATGACTGGTAATTTTAACAATCGTAAGATGAATGTCAAAGATAAGCCATACGATTATTAACGGCATAAAATCGATCTATTAATCAGACTGGGTTGTCGTTTTGCGGTTAGTAATTATCTGTATTTAATAACCTTTTCGGGCTAATTTGACCTGACCTTCATAATTACAAGGAAACGGTAAAAATAGTATATAAGCTGTTTTGGTAGAATCTTTTAGATTTGAACGCTGATAAGTTACGATAATGACCGCAGAGAGGGAACGAGAGAGTGGGGGAGGGGAGGATTTGAGAGAAAAAAGTGTTTGCATGAATTCAGACATATAAATTATCTATTTATGATTAAGGTAAGCATTACAGTAGTGGCGTTCATTTTTTGCCTTCGATGTATCAAAAGTTTTTTTCATGAATAATGAGATGATCAAGAATAAAATATGAATGAAAACGAGAATGACAGTATATCGTATACGTTAATTGTCAAAATCAACCAGAAGGCAAAATGAAAAGAGTACAATTTAAAGATTTCACGTTAAATATTACAGAGAAATTGTAGAAATACCATGAATACGATGATAATAATATTTACATACATACATACACACCCACACACCCACACACACACACACACACACACACATACACACACACACACACACATACACACACACACACATACACACACACACACACACACACACACATACACACACACACACACACACACACACACACACACACACACACACACACACACACACACACACACATACACACACACACACACACACACATATATATATATATATATATATATATATATATATATATATATATATATATTTATATAATACACACACACACACACACACACACACACACACACACACACACATATATATATATATATATATATATATATATATATATATATATATATATATATATAATATATAATATATATATATATATATATATATATATATATATATATATATATATATATATATATATATATATGCAACTATTTCAAACATCATTCTATTTTCAGTGTGCTTGGTAAGTGTTAGCAATTCGAAACGTTATTAACAAGCATGGCTGTAAACAATTACAAAACCTGACATTATTAGCGATCGAGAGAACCAATGGGAACTTGCGGAATTGAAGAAAGACACCCTGCCACGCTTAAAAATATTGATCGTCACATGATATTTGTTTTATTTGAAGGAGGGGATGCATTGAAAATTTTACATGTGTAATTTTAGTGTATATATTTGTGCGTGATTACATTTTATTTGTATTTTCTCAGTTCTGTGTCTATCTCTATCTCTCCATCAGCTTCTCTCTCTCTCTCTCTCTCTCTCTCTCTCTCTCTCTCTCTCTCTCTCTCTCTCTCTCTCTCTCTCTCTCTCTCTCTCTCTTCTCTCTCTCTCTCTCTCTCTCTCTCTCTCTCTCTCTCTCTCTCTCTCTCTCTCTCTCTCTCTCTCTCTCTCTCTCTCTCTCTCTCTCTCTCTCTCTCTCTCTCTCTCTCTCTCTTATTGATTCGGAAATTCTAAATATATCGTAATAATAATGGTAATAATGATAAAAATAATATCAATAACAATATTTATAGTAATGATAATAATGATGATGAAAATAAAACAACAACGATAATAATTGATAATGATAATAGCAATGAAAATAATAACAATAATAATAATACAGGTAATACTCATAGTAACATCAATAGTAATAGTAGTAGCAGCAGTAGTGGCAAGAAGGAAACGTAATCTTTTAAATGAAAACAATGATAAAAAGAGTAATGTTACTATTAATGCTATTACTACAGCTATTTTCATTACTGTTAGTATAACTACCATTATAGTAAATATCATTAAAGATACGTCACTAAAAAAATATTTGATAGAATTTCTTCAAAACAACTTTTAAATATTTGACGAATCCATTGTGCTGTTCTAATGGTAAATAAGACTTGAATGATATTGAAAACTATGGTCTAAATAGAAATATCAATATCAACAACAATAACAATAACTAGACAGTAAAGGTTACACTAATGAAAGATATCAGCAGCAACAGACCACTTGATTGTAAACGGAATTGAATTGCCACGCTGGTTCTGGTTTTGTTATCGGTCATTGTTGTCAATAACAATTTATTATTATAACAGAAATATTTTTAAGGTATTGGATTCATGCAATGAAAAAAATTGACATTGAAGATGATGCTTTTTCTTTTTTTCGATAAAGTGAAATCTGTACTTCATTACTGATGATTTCCTGCTATGAATATGTATGTGATAATATAAAATATAATAATAATTGATATTATTAGTGTGAATTATGTGAAAAAATTCCAAAATAATATGTTTAATTAATGATAAATACAAACTCTCACAAGATTACTCCTAATGGTAAAAATGTTGTAATGACTATGAAATGCATACATGAAGGGGTCAGACCTAAACTTTAAGTAGGATGAATTTAAGGCAAATATTAATTCGTGATTACTTAAAGTCATTCAATATTTTCTCGATAATAGAAAAAAATATATATCATCCTTGGTTGCGTATTTCAGTTATACCAAATTTTAGGGAACAGGCAGACAGACTGTCTACCTGTCACAGACAGAGAGAACGAATACTCAAAACTGAAAATTTATTCATCACATTCTCATTTTGTTTTTACAATAAAAGATCCTTATGTAATCACCTGTGTGTATTTTTCATTTATTTATACACATATATCTAGCTATTTATCTGCATATTTATACAAACGTACACGAACACACATAAACACACCCACACACATAAATACACACACCAACGCAAATATATACACACACATATATGTGTGTGTGTGCATGTGTATATATACATACATATATATGTGTATGCGTGTGTGTGTGTGCGTGTGTGTATATATATATATATATGTGTGTGTGTGTGTGTGTGTGTGTGTGTGTGTGTGTGTGTGTGTGTGTGTGTGTGTGTGTGTGTGTGTGTGTGTGTGTGTGTGTGTGTATACTGTAAATATTTACGTAATATTTAGATGTGTATGCTCATTACAAGGGTTTCTTTAGTAACACCACATTTTCTTGCACTTCACGGGCATTTTATTAAGTAAATCAACTGGACATGATCACATTATAACCACAATAATACATGGAACCGAGTCAAACTACCCGGGTCAATACAATGACAAACTGTGTCCCATTCCTCGACTAGCTGGATTCTAAAGCATTTCCTGATTCGGTGATATTATTTACAATACACACAAACAAACACTAGCAAGCAAACACACATACACGCACACATATATGTGTGTCTGTGTGTGCGTAATTCAGTCATTCAATTCCACTTATAAATTACACTCAGAAGTATACAATTCCAAGTTCCATGATTTGAAGATAACATGAGGGGAAATGTAACATCCACATGAGCCATATCATATTATCATGGTTAACAAAACACTTCATACTTTCCTAAAAAAGAAGTGAATGTACAATGGAACAGAGAAGCCTTATCTACATCACAGTATTAATAGAACTAAAAAGGGTATTGTACTTTCTATCCTGAAGTTCAAAGGACATGTTAATATCATCGCTAAGGGTATTTTATCAATTTCAGTTCAATATATTTTTTTTTTAGATATGACTATCTGTTGTGTAATTTTATTGATAATATAACATCCATTAATCTGTCTACTAATTTACAGTTTTCTGTCTTATTTGAATATCAAGTAGAGGAGACAATTAGCATTATCATCTTAATTGTGCATTTGTGAGTACCTTCTGCAACAGAAAATATAGTCTAAACCATAGTTAGTAATAAAAAGGAGTAAGTAATCGACTAGGTAAACACGCACAGAAGCAGAACGAATGCCTCATGGTGTGTCACATATACAAGGGGTTCTTACGACAACAAAAATAATAAATTAGCTTTGCAGGTAAAATTGCTTTTCAAGTGGAAGTCTCAGGAACAGTATGAGAGTCCTTGATCCACTCTTAAAATCACTCTGTTAAGATGAAACAGAAGGACAACATTTTCTTTACATCACTTTCTCCTAAAAAAAATTTAACTCCCTTTTAATACTTTCTCCTCTTTCATTGATCCTTATTCTTCCTCGTCCGTCTCTCTCTTTCTCCTTCCCCCTCCTCCTCTTCTT